AACTTGTTGGACCATTGTGTGCATCCATTTCCAGATATTGAGTCAATAATAAAGACTATGAATGGAGTTTCTCATTGCCTTTTAGGGTGATGAGATAGACAAACCGTCCGCACGGTCTGTGGAATACTGCTCCTTCACAAGACAATGAGATACACAATTGGCTCAATATCTGGAAATGGATCCACACAACAGTTTCTTTTTTTGTAAGATTTACAACATATCAAATACAGCTAAAGTTACACAATGATTGCACTATATAACAAATTAAAAATGAACAATAAAGCTAAAAAAATACTAAGTAAAAAAAAAACCTAAGTTAAAAAAAATTACACAATCCAGTAAAACACTTACAAGTCCAGCAAACGAGTGATCGGCTTCAAATAAAGTTGCTCCTTCGCTCTACATGGGTCCAAGCTGAGTCCAAGCTGCTGTGCCTTCAAGTCTTCTCCTCCATTGCATCTGTAAATGACTGATAAGCATAGGAGGCACAATGAATGGAATGACAAGAACAAGCTGGAATAACACAATCAAAAGCTGTGTCGGTCTCATTTACCTGTTTGCCGCCACTTATCCAGCACAGGACAACTCTTGTCTCCGACCACACTGTAGTACCACTGCCATGCTTCAATGTTGATTGGCTCACCCACTGCCGGAACACAAGAACAGTCACTCATGAAACATTTGTTTGCTTTGCTCTAGTTATGTCAATGCAAATTTTTTATATTGAAAAATATCTAGAAATAGAATAATTTTTTTAAAATAATTATTTTTGAAATTCCTTTTCTAAAAAAAACATTTTTCTACATTTTTCTCATCGAAAGGGTGTTTTGAAAAAAAATTACTTTTAATAATAATTTTCCCAGTTCAGATTTTCTGTTTTTAGTCACGTTCATTCTAATTGCAATGACATGGTGGAATATGAAAACTTAAAGCTGGCTGAACTGATGGAGTGAGCAGACCAGAAATTCAGGGGGAGACAAGGATCTCCTTTCAAACAGAGGAGGAGGTCCACCCTCGGCTCCATGTGTAGACAGGGTAGGACATGACATCACTGGCTGCAATTGGCGGGACAGGAAGTACATTTCCGTGTGTTTTTTTACCCTCCTTTTCCTGTCTGTGAGTAAAAGGAAGCCCCCCTGCCTCGACCCTCCCGACTTCCTCTCCTCTTCCTTCCACCTCCTCCCCCTCCACCTCTTCCCTCCTATCCTGCAGCTGTCTCTGCAGTTTGCTGGGTCACCACATGTTAGAGGACAGTGTCTTACTATGTGGATTAACGTGAGGATAATCTGAACATTAACAAGGAATAACTCTGTGTACATTTGCAATCCTACAGTGAACTTTTACGAGGTCCAAATCCAAGTGACACATTTAGTGTTTGTTACTTTCACAGACCCAGAAACAGGCAGCAGTCAGTGCAGTGAACGTGAGTCTTTCTTCATTGTGTTTAATTCACTATCCACCTCCTAATGGAGGTCACACGTTTGCAATTTTATCTCCAACTTCCAAAGCAATTGTGTATTCTTACACAAGGTTTACAGTTTTGATCAGCTGAATGCAATGTGCTCCTTGGAAGTTCAGGGAATGCAGTGGTCTTTGGCTGACAGAACAGTCAGGAGCACCGGAGCCTCATCGTTGCTAAGGCTAATACGTCCTTGATTTAAAGAGACACAGTAATGTGTTGGCTGCTGGCTGAGAAAATCACAGAGAAGGAGCTGTAGCAACGTGGATAAAAGAAGAACACAATGCTCTCTTTCTTTCTCCCTTTTCCTTGTTCTAAAAAGTCTCCCTCTCTTTTCTTCCTCACCATCTCTGCCAAGAGCTGCTGCTCCTGTTGTCTCAGCTGCGAGGATGGAAATCAGACAGGGGGAGGAGAAGCGGGGGATGAAAAGAGGAAAGGCAGACTGTGGGACAGTGTGGAAAACAAAAAAACACCCAGATTAATTGCTTTGTGATTTGGCTGAAGAGGAGAAGGGGGGTAAGAAGATGAGAAGATCAGAGGTGACTTTACAAGTGTGTAAAATAAAGTCATGTGACTGTGTGTGATGCTGAGGCTTTTCTCTGCATTTGTTGGTTGCATCAACCTCAAAACACAACTGCTGAAAGGACTTAAGGTCAACACTTAAAATTAAACAAAAAAAATTGTGAAAATAAATTTGTAAGCGTTTGCATGAAACCAATTTATTTTGAAATGTACAGCATTCAGAACAACGCCAAGAAGCACTAGGAGCCGTTCGTTCTACTCAGCTCTGCCTGCAGCCTTGGTCTATATGGGTTTTCACTTGTTAGAAAAGACAGAACAGTGTTGGGATCAAAAGCCTCCATGTGGTGAGATGTGGTTTTGAGGGCATCATCTACTCCCACACTGTCTCTCGCTCTCCCTCTCTCTTTCTTTCTCACACACACACACAGACACACATAACCCCAATCCCTCTTTACCAGTTCTCCACTCCACACTCAGCCCCTCCCCCACACAGCAACACATACAGCTGCTACAACCCCAGCAAAGCACAGAGCATTTAATTCATTTTATCCAGAACTGAAGTTGCCATGGAAACATATAATTCCCCATTTGACTGTGGAGGAAATGAAATGGAGGCAGGAGGGTGAAAAGAGGAATCTCTGTCCCTGAAACTCTGAGGAAGCAGCGGAGAATGCAGAAGGTCGCGTGTTGTCAGAGGTTTGTGTGTTACATTCATCAGGATCATTGGACACAACGCATGTGTGCTACTCTTCACACACGCAGACACCGTCACACAAGCATGCGGACAACTCAGCACCACAGCGACAGGTGCTACTGCGGAAATGCTGCAGCTGCTGTGTAGATATTTCAGGGTTAGGGAACGAGTGGGAATTACCAACCGCTCCATCCTTTTTACCAAATAATTTCCTGTTGAAGTTGACAGGCCGAAATGTTTGGTATCTGTACTGAACCATTTTAAGCACAGGTGATTTGGCAACATTTTTGGCCTTCCTGAAGCATCCAAAGTGGGGGAGGTCTGCAACCTTCACCACCACACAGCTATTTTATATTTTCATTGATAAGTGAAATTCACCCCAAGCTGCACAAACATTTCAGCGATTTTAAATGAAGCTAAAAGTGAAGTATGTGAAGGATAAATTACTGCAGTTAAACTACAGGCTTGAATAAAAGTCCAGATTTCCACTTGAAGAGAACAGTGACACTGTGTTGTTTTGCGACTGTGTTCCACACTATCTGACAGTCACTGATGAGTCAGTATCTGCAGACAGTGTACTGTTGTCAGCTGAAAACGCTGTCTGATCAGTGAATGTTTTAATTTTTTGGGGTTGGAGTGGCAGGGGCCCGGTGGGGGGGTCTGACTCATGTTAGAAGAGGAGAAAAGGTAGGAAGGAAACAAGGACACGCAGCTTTAGCAGTCTGAATATGGGTTACGTTGTTCCAGGTGCCACTTTGATGCAGTGCCTTACAACTGCACGTTTACATTCTGAGTCACACGTGATCCTCATGAGTCATGATGAGATCCACTGGGGGAGTAAGGGTGAGTGTGAACGCACAGAAGGAGAAAACACCAAACTTAAGATTCATTAGGGAAATACTACAGGATGTACTGAGAATCAGTAGAGAGGGGGTGGGAGGGGAGGAAGAGGGGAGGGAACGAGCCTCTCTGCCACACTTTACTGCACTTATTGTACGTCACAGACCCTCCCTCTCCCCTTCCCTTTGTTCTGCCTTCCTCTCGTCACTGCTGCATTCTTAGCCACAGAGACTATTCCTATGCCTTCATTCTTTTCAGCACATTTTCTATTCCCTTTTTTTCTGTCACTCTGGATGAACGTATGCCGTCCTTAAAAAAAAAGCCTGGCCTTTGCCTGTGTTTCCAGGTAGCTCTCTGGACCTGGACCTGTTCATCTGTGTCCATGGAGCTCAAATATTCATGTGCCTGCTCTGCATCGCTCAACAACCAGTGATGTCGACTGGCAACAGACTCCCAGTTTCCATGGCAACCTCCACCATCCATTCCCTTCCCAATCTGCTCTCTCCTTGCCCCCCTCCCCACTCCCACTCTTCTCTTCAGTCGGTGGGGTTAGAGGGACGGCGGCAGGAGTGATTACCTCCCTGGCAACAAATAACAAAAGCATCAGAGGAAGTAGATCACCGGGAGAGAAGAGGGGATTAAATGAAAAGCAGATGGGAAAACGGGAATAAAATGACAGATAATTAATTAGACACAAAGGGGAGTGTTTTGTTGTTGAATGCTGCAGGGCAAAAAAAAAAAAAACCTTTTGAGGACGACTTCATCACAAGCCATTCTGCCCTTCCTGTCAGCTCTGGTCCCCTCTTCTGTTGTGTCCCCCCCACCACACACACACACACACAAAAGGGCTATAATCTGCTTACCGTAACACATCTGCACAATGTCTTCATCATATTCCTCCATCACGTCTTCCTGCTGCTCTGAACAATATCCTGTTGAGCAGCCACTGTAGCAGCATCAAGGATGTAGCCTTTTTCCAAACAAGACAATGGGATATTGCGTCACTTTTCCTGCAGAGGGACATCTCGGCTCTACCATAAAAAGAAAAAAAAACAAACAGTTGAGTCATGTGACCTTTATTATTTATTATCAGTGTACAGCTGTTACTCAGTGTCTGCTGTAAAAGTCTACCCTCTATCTCATTTCAGACATCGTTCACAGGCCTGATCTTTCCTCCTCGTCGCCTCTGACGCCATCATGACTTTACGCTGGACTGAGCCGCTGCTACAGTGGTTAGGTTATTACACTGCGTCTCAACCCCAGCAAGTCACATGCGGGTCATCACCTCCTCTATACTCATTGGTGGTGTCGTTCTGACTGTAGGATAAAAGGTCAAAAGGTAACAAAAGTCAATGACATCACAAAGACATGGAAGTTTACAGAGGAGGAGGAGAGAACGGGAGCAGGTGAAGGAGGCAGAGGAGACAGGTGGGGAAACCATCAGGGTATATGTGCAGATTCAAACCAGCAGGTGGTGAGCGTAACCATGGTTACAAGGCAAAAGTATGATGTCATCGTCTTTACCATATGTGGTATTTTTGGGGGAAAAGGGAGCGCACTGTTTGACTGTCTTTCGCCACCAGAGCTGATGTGAAATCAAAATGAAGACTTTACGCATACACACACATGCCACACCCAAGAATTTACTGCCCCCCTGAGGAAATCAGACTGCTGCAGGCTGTGCTGATGTAGGTCAATGGACTGACAGCTCCACCGCCTCCATCAATTTGTAACGACAGAAGAGGGGGCAGGAGACAAGGGTGTGGACGGACACACACGCACACACACACTCACTCCTGATGACAAGAAAATATAATCATTGATGCATTCAGAGTAAATTATAAGAAAACAATGTATCTTTGTCTGCACACATACACTACAGGACTTTAATTAAAAATTTCACAGCATCCATGTGATGTGAGAGGCTGATCAGTGTCAAACCAGCTTCGGTTTAAAACTAGCAAACCTGGAATCCAATAATTGCCACCATGCTGTCCTATGTGGAATTTACTGTTGTGTCCCCCCCATATATATATATATATATAGAGAGAGAGAGAGAGAGCGAGAGAGAGAGACGTATATATAGTAGTTGTGTGGACACAACTATATAAATATAGTTGTGTCCACACTTGCCCCTCCATCTTTACTATTGTCATTTTTGCGTGTGAAGCTGAATGTTCTTCAGAGAACGAACTGTTTTGGGAAAGAAAAAAAAAAGCACTTTGTTCCATCATGTGACTGTGCAAACCCTGGTGCTTATTGATATTCTCATTGCATCAGCCTCAGGCTCAGGCTGCAGGAGAAGACAGACCCTCGTCTTTCTCCATGCTGCTCAGACTCTGTGGAAAATTCATTCTCAGAGAGACCATTATCCTCAGAGATGACTGGCCTTCTATACTGCCGATCCAGTTAGTCAGTTATCTGTGTTAAATATGGGAAGGACAGGACAAATAAACGTTGTGTTTAAACTTCCAACTTTTACAGACTTATACCTATTTGACTTCTGCATCACAGACAGAGACAGGGACAGTTTCTGTCTGTGATCTGCATCACAGACAGAGACAGGGACAGTGACAGGGACAAAGATAGTGGTGTTTTTATTTTTTTTTATCTTTGCTCTTCAGGCAGCACTGTGATGATGGAGATGTCACTCAACAGTGTGTCACCACAACCAATCGGTTGACACCCAAGGCCACACATTAATTGTCTGCTAATTTCATGTCAGTTTCATGGAGAGTGTTATACATGAGGGCGAGAAATTTGATCAAGGTGAAATCAAGATGTGACGATCAGAGCGATGAGACATGAATGGCGTGTAGATTTAAAAAAAAAAAAAAGCCAACTCTCAACACTCTCTGTACACACTGTAGTGTGTATATGTATGTCAAATAAAATATGAAACATGAGGGGGAGTCAACAAGTATTAAGATAGATATCATCAAGATTTTAATAATTTTTATTGATGATTGGTATGTATTATGAATTACTTTTTCAATTAGTATTCAGTTTTTCTGATGAACAAACATTGCCTCACTAGAACATGGAGAGCCTTTTTATCATTCATCAGCAGTCACTCCAACTTTATCCTGGACTTAAATGCCACGGTGGAATGTATTTCTCTCTTAAAGCAGCAGGAAGGTTGAGAAATGGCCAAACTAAACAATTGATGTGGGCTTTAATCCACCGTTCTCAGAAACCCTGACAGGCAGAAGGAGAGAGAAGTGTAGAGAGTACGGCCAAGTTTGAGACAAATTAAACATCTACCTCACAGAGCTGGCAGTGGAGATAGTGATAGCAGCCAGAGAAATGTGCACAAATGTTAGAGAAGAAAAATCAGAGCAACAAATAAAGGGGTCAAAAGAAAAAAAAAAAGGAAATGGAAGGAGAAAAAGGAAAAGAAGAAGAGTGTTTTGTTTTTTATGTGTCTCACGTTTTCTTCTTCACAGCTGAGGTCACAGCTTCCTCCATCCAGCGCCTCCTCCTCTCCAGGAGGTGAAGGGGTGACATGGTTCACTTTGCTACCTGGAGACCGACAGCCTCACTCCTGCAGCCAATCAGAGGCTGAGAGACACAGCATCCTGCCTCTCTATTGGTCCACTGCTCCCAGGAACTCATTCCACTATGAGTGTCCATATCATTGTGTCGTCTGGCGCTGCTGACGCCAATTATGCCGCCTCCTCTCTTTGTTCAGACCTCCTTTCTCCTGCAGACTCCCCTTCACACTTATAAGAACACACACAGACTCAACAGGACGTCACAGCACACTGAGGGATCATGGGAAAAAAAAACAAAGACATGAACCTCATAGCAATGAGTTCCTCTATTTTATATCATTTATCACCAACCATGTCAAAGCTGCAAATATTAACATCTTTACACAGTTTGTCCATCCTGGCAAAACCACTTCGCAAATGTATTCACAGAAAATAGTCACTGATACTTGATACTAATAATGTTCTTCATATCACAATAATTGTTAAGAAAATAACAATTTAGTAATACTGATATTATTATTATTATTTTGTACAGTCTATGTTTGTGGCACAGACCCTTGAAACAGACCACGATGACAAACTGACGTGAACTTTAGAATAGGCTGTTGATGAAGTTGCAGATACCTGCCGCCAACAGGATGTGTTTACATAGTTAACAGTGTTGTCACATGACGATGACACACCCACTAAAGAACACATCTTCAGGTTACCTAACTCTGTAAGGCAAACGTGTCAAACAAAACCAACAGCAATGAGTCAAAAATAGTAACAGCTCCTCAGTAATGTTTGTTTGAAGATGGCTCAGATAATCACTTCTTAATGCTCGACGTGTCCTCCCATGATCCTCTGCTTTTCTCCCTAAGATGCTTTTCATATAATCCTTGTGTTTATTCACCGTCACTTATTTTTTATAATTTCAATACCTACATTTGAGTACATTATATTTTTATATGACAATATGAAATATACTTGACTATTATACTATATAATAGCATATCATATATACTATTATATTTCTTATAGTGTTTTATTGTTGTAAATGTATATATATATAATTAATCATTTTATATTTTTGTTTCTGCTGTTTATAAATAGAATGAATGTTGTCATTGTTGACAGGTCCTTTTTTTCAGACTTTTCAAATAATAATCTCATTGAATCAAATTAAATCAATATAGTCAATGGTTTAATTGATTACAAAAGTATTCAATAGCTGAAGCTCTGAATATTTGTCTCTATGCCACATGGCTAAATATTCCTTGTTCTACTCTGATGACTTCCGGAAGCCTTGCAGAGATCTGACATAAGGAACACACATGTTTACGCACGCACATACACACGTATCAGTGAAATGCAAAGAGCTTTGAGCCTTTCTCCGTTGTGTTTGATCAACCACATGCGCTGTCTGTTTTCAAAGGGACAGGAAGAAGAGCACACAACAGTACAAAAAAATAAAATAAAATAGTTGACTCACTCTGTCCTTCACTGTGGAGCCAGTCACTACTGGCAAGTGGTTGACATGTGTGTGAGCTTTGCTGCACGATGATCCTAA